GGCCAGGCTGGTCTCAAACTCCTGACCTCAGGTGATCCACCCGCCTCGGCCTCCCAAAGTGCTGGGATTACAAGCTTGAGCCACTGCACCCGGCCCAAAATTGATCTTTTTAAATACCACTTGGAAGCACAGAATCTTACAATTGGGAGGATCCTTAGAGGTCATCTAGTCTAAACCTCTCCCAGTGTAGGACTTCACTGGAGTGCAGTGGTGCAATCTCAGCTCACTGCAACCTCCGCCTCCCAGACTCAAGTGATCCTCCCGCCCCAGCCTCCTGAGTAGCTGGGACTACCGATGTACCACCAAGCTCAGTTAACGTTTGTATGTTTTGTAGAGACGGGGTTTTGCCATGTCACCCAGGATAAACTCGAACTCCTGGACTTGAGTAATACACCTGCTTTGGCTTCCCTAACTGCTGGGATTAAAAGGGGTGAGACACCATGCCTGACGTTACTGTGTGAATTGTGATTCAGCTTTTGGTGGAACTTCCCTAAAGAGATGGTATCCATTCTCCCCCAAGGCAGTTTATTCCACTGTGATCAACATTGATGAATCCAAAGTTTTTCCTTCTACTGAATTTTCACTCTGCCTCTTATCACCAAACCTGAGAAACCAGTCAGAGGCAGCTAAGATGGGGAAATAAAATCGCCAGATGAAAAGGAAACTTGAGAGAAATGATACCCCAGTAGCAGTGAGCACGCCTAGCACTCAGATCTTGGTCTCTAAAACAATTTTCCAGTAAAAGGTACCAGGGCTCCCTGGAGTCCTAGCTGACTCTAGGACAGGGTAGGAAATACACAATGTGAGTGTAGAGCATCTTGAGTTACCAAAAAGTAAGAAAGCGCCCAAAACCACAACCACACTCACACATTGATGGGGTTAGCCGGGCTCATGCTTGTAATCCCAGCACTTTGGGAGGCTGGAGTGGGGCGGTCACTTGAGCCCTAGGAGTTGGAGACCAGTCTGGACAACAAGGCAAAACCCTGTCTTTACAAAAAACACAAAAATTAGCCAGGTGTGGAGTCCCAGCTATTGGGAAGGATTGCCCTGGCCGGGGTGATTGATGCTGCAGTGAGTCATGATTGCACTGCTACACTCCAGCCTGGGTGGCAGAGTGAGACTCTATCTCAAACAAACAAACAAAAAGCAGAAAAAAAGAAAATAGCCCGGAGTGGTGGCTGACACCTATAATCCCAGCACTTCAGGAGGCCGAGGCAGGCGGATCACCTGAGGTCAGGAGTTTGAGACCGGCCTGACCAATATGGAGAAACCCTGTCTCTACTACAAACACAAAATTAGCCAGGCATGGTGGTGCATGCCTATAATCCCAGCTACTCAGGAGACTGAGGCAAAAGAATTGCTTGAACCCGGGAGGCAGAGTTTGCAGTGAGCCGAGATCATGCCATTGCACTCCAGCCTGGGCAACAAGAGTGAAACTCCATCTCAAAAGGAAAAAGAAAAACATGAACATTTTGATGAAGCTGTGTCAAAGGGACAGTAAGAGCCAACTGAAAAAGCTCCCAACATCAAAGCTGGAACAATTTGAGGAACAAAATAAGTAAAGTAGTATTAGATTATAACCCCAAAGTATAAGATAAATATCTGAGTTTATAGTGATATGAATAAATGACTGCATCTATTTATATTGGGGAGAATAAACAAATCTCTTACGTAGAATTCCAAATATAATATGTAGACACTCCATCCTAAAGGGAGCAGGGGAGCATGACTTCCCACTTCTTCTTCTTCTTTTTTTTTTTTGATACTGAGTTTCACTCTTGTTGCCCAGGCTGGAGTGCAATGGCAGGATCTCAGCTCACAGTAACCTCTGCCTCCCGGATTCAAGCTATTCTCCTGCCTCAGCCTCCTGAGTAGCTGGTATTACAAGCATGTGCCACCACACCTGGCTAATTTTGTATTTTTAGTAGAGATGGGGTTTCTCCATGTTAGTCACGCTGATCTTGAACCCCCAACCTCAGATGATCCGCACCCCTCGGTCTCCTAAAGTGCTAAGATTACAAGTGTGAGCCACCATACCCGGCTATAACTCTCCACTTCTTATGTGTGGACTGTGTACAGGAAATTTAATTCAACATAATTTAGGAAATCAGGAGGAATATCTTCACAGTGGAGAGACCAGAAAAACACGACTTCGACCAGATGATCAAGGTCAGCATCAATACTCATCAATTATGTTTTCAGTATATGCCCTTATGATAAAATGGTACTTCACTCTGTGATCATTGTCCTAAAAACCCATAAGCCCAGGTTAATAATGAGAAAAACATCAGACAAATTCCAGCAGAAAGGCATCCTACCTGTATACTCAACTCCACAAAACTGTCAGTCATCAAAAACAGGAATTTAGTAAATTCCTAAACCATTCCTATGGATGGTTTATTTCCCAACCTGGATTAAGTAAAATTTTATCTTCTTCTTTTCCCTGCATTCTTAGAGGATCACTCATTTACTGTGTAGAAATGGTGTTGGATTTGTCTGACCTCAAAGCTCATGGCCATTTACTGACTCTTCATTGCTTTGCAATCCTCTAGTAGAGGATTCCCTATGATCACCATGGTTTAGCATTGTGCCTGGCATATAGTAGTTGCTCAGTAAATATTTGTGGAATGAATAAATACATGACTTCTATGGGCCCTTCCGAACTTGAGACCTTGTGATCTCCTCAAGGAGATCTCCCCTCACCATTCCAGTTCTCCTTGGTTTCTTCCTTCTCTATATTGTAGAAACAATTATGAAACCCTAATATTATGAACCACTAATTTAACGGCTCTTAATTACATACTGTATTGTCTTTTATTGTTCCCTAGTTATGTCAGGAGTTTAAAATCTGCCTCCCCAAAAAGTGTGCTAGTTGCCAGAAACCAACTCTATTGAACTAGCGTTTATTGGACGCTACGTATTAACCACTAGCACCTGTCCTACAAAAGCTTCTATTCTAAACAGCATGGAAACATTAAAGGGAGAGAGTGCACTAAGTGTTCTAATAAAGGTATACACAAAACGCTATCGTCAGACAGGGGAACAATTCATTTTGCAAGAAAGGCAGCCCAGGAAAACTACAGGTAGAAGGTAATATTTCCTCTAGTCTTCACAGATAACAGGAGTTTGTCAGGCTCTTGGGATAATATTAATGCATTGGGGGGAACGTGATGCTATACCAAAGAGAGGTACAAGAGGCTGTCTCGTTTTCTGCTGTAATCTCTCTCCCCATGCGCGACAGAAAACTACCATTCTCTAGTATACAATCAACACAGAAATGGGAGCCCAGGAGAGAAAGAGTGGGGATCAGAAGGGGGCTGATCCAACAACCCGCCGGGAAGCGTTGCCTCTTTCGCAGCCTGGCCGGGATGAACAAGCTCGGGAAGTGTGGGACCGAACCAGGTCCGAGCCACCAGGTCCGAGCCTTACCTGCTGCCCCTCCCCCACGCGGAGCCCAGGCCGCCGCCAACTTGAAATGTACTGGGCTTCCTCCAGGCGGCAGCGTTTAGGCCCGCCTCCCCGAGCTCCCCATTGGTCAGTTCTCTCGGCCAATGCCGGAGAAGCCGAGGAGGGAGGTCCGCCCTCTTGAAGCCTCGGGAGAGAAGGAGGGAGGAAGCGAATACGCCGGAACCGAGGCTTGCGAAGCAGGTCGCGGAGAGAGTTGGAGTTGCAGACTCACCTGCGGTCATTTATTTCCGGTCTCACTCCAGATGAAGGAGCCCCTGGCCGGCGAGAGTTCACCGAGGGAACATGACACTCATATCTCATCGAGGGACTGTGTTGAGGGAGCCCCCACAGAGAGGCCATAAGAGAAGTGGGCCTACGAAGAAATAAACCCCTGTGAAAGCCGCTCTTTAGGGATCAGCCTTTTTGTGGCTCTGGCTTCACAGCTTGGTCTCTTCTCCATTACTCCAGCCTTCCTTTCAATCCTACACTGCCTCTATCCAGCACCACCAATGGATACTTCTTTTCTAAAAATGTGTTTTTTCCGTGGGTTGCTGCCGTGCCTGTGCGAAGGTGGGCAGAGAGTTTGAGGAAGGAAGAATTTGGGATCAGAGTAGTAGGAGAGACAGGGCAGAAGCCCAGCTTTTTCTGCATTTTTTTTTTTTTTATGAAAAAAAGAATTTTTACATATAGAGGTGGGTTTTCACCATACTGGCCAGGCTGGTCTCGAACTGCTAACCTCATGATCCGCCCACCTTGGCCTCCCAAAATGCAGGGATTACAGGCGCAAGCCATCGGGCCCAGGCTTTTTCTGCATTTTCCACTACCTTCCACCTCCTGCAAGCCCTTGGGAAATGGGGCAGAGTGGAAAGAGGAGTCCTATTTTCACACACACAAAAAAAAACATAAATGGGGGAAAGAGTTCAGAATGAAGATAAAATCTAGGAGTTAGTCAAGAAGAACATCCCAGATATTAGAGAAAACGGCCTGTAGACTGGGTGGCCATAGGCGTAGTGGCAAGTGCCCTGTCTGTGCCATAGGACACAAACTTAGCTGTGAAGCTTGGGAGAACTTGCTTAACCTTATTAAGTCTGTTTCCTCATCTGTAACAAGATGATAGTTCCTACCTTACAGAGTTGTGAGGATTGAAGATAGTGTATGTAAAGCACATGGCACGTAGTTGACATGTGTCCAAGAACTAACTAGTAAAAATGGGTAGCTTCAGGCCGGGCGCGGTGGCTCACGCCTGTAATCCTAGGGAGGCCGAGGTGGGTGGATCACCTGAGGTTAGGAGTTCAAGTCCAGCTTGGCCGTCATGGTGAAACCCCATCTTAAAAAAACAAACAAACAAACAAAACCAATGGGTAGCTTCCTGCAAATATTTCTTTCTACCATCCCTGGGAACATTATTTTCTGTATCTTGCATCTGGGGGGTCTCCAGCCTCTGAATTAGCTCAGGACCCTGAGTGAACTTTCTAAATCCTTATCATTTTTCTTCTTCTCCCACTTCCCTTGGTGCCTTCCAGCTGGACACAAACTCAGTACCAAAATATGTAGATGGAAGCTATGGTAACCATGGAGACAGGGCAGGTGGCAAGGAGAGGCAGAGACAGTGTGAGAGACCAATAGACAGATAGGAAGAGAGAAGATGGAAGGAGCGTTTCAGACAGAGACCTTCAAGCAAGATGGAAAAAATAATACGTCTAAGCAAGACTGAGATTAAAGAGATGCAATGAGAGACTTTATTGCAAGGTTCGCTCTTCTTCCTGCCGGTTTCCTATCTCCCTTCCCACAATAATATGGGTGGAGGCACCTGGGAATGTCCCTTGCCCTATCTAAAAGTGCCCCCCCCCATCCACCTTCCTCATAGTTATCTAAAAGGTCTATATAAGGGAGCTGAGGTCCAAATTTCTCTGTGATGGTTGTTCCGTTTTTGAGAGATGGGGCGGGGGTGTATCTGTGTCTGACTCCAGGCTGGACCGTGCTCTCCTTCACAATTAAACTCCAGGAAGACAGCCACATCTCTTGCCTCTCTTTGCACAGTATGGACACCGGGTGTGGATCCAAAAAGCCTCTCTACGGCCTTCTGCACAGTGTGCCATGTGTCGCGTGTGTGGCAGGTCAGGTCTGGCGCACAGGAGCGCATAAACACACCAAGTGCGGAGAATGGGGATCTGCTGAAGCTCGGCGAAGAATCTTCATGATGGTCCCTGTCTGGGTCGCAGAGTCCCCTAAGGAACACTTAGGTTTGTTGGGGCTGAGAGGAGGTTGGCTAAGAAAGGAAAGTCAGGATTGGAGCCTCTAGGTTTTTTGAGGGTTTATGTGTGCATGAGTGGGGGAGCAGTTTGGTGCCCGACGCCCCCACTCGCAGAGACTAGGCTATAAATAGTGCAGCAGAGCTCCGCCCCCCCCCCCCCAAGCTTCTCTCCTCCCGAGCCGGCGCTGTGCCCGGGGCGCTCCGGGAGGAGGGACCAGGATCCGGCGCCGGGGCGCAGATACTGACACCAAGGGAATCCGGGTGCCCCCCCCCTCCACGCCATGCGGGCCCCCGGGAACCTGGCTCTGCCACCTCGGCTGCCCGGTGGCCACGGCCCCAATCCTGGCCAGGCGGAGATTCTGCGGACATTCAGGTATCTATCTGGGCGCACAGGCTGGGAGGGGAAAGAGGGAGGAGTGATGGGGAACAACGCTGGGGCAAAAGAATCCCCCAATTCTCCCTCCACCCGTTTTAGGTCCCAAATGCAGGATGCTTCCCTCCCCCCACTAGTTTTTGGGGCTGTGGCAAGCTAAAAGAGGTTAGGAATGAGAATACGTGTGTGACTGTAGGGTCCATGTGTGTGGGTGGGTGGTGTTCAGCATCCTAGAAAGGGGGATCCCAAGTGTGGATAAGAAAAGGGGGATAGAGGAAAGGTCTGATAAGCCATGGGGTGAGGGTGGGGGTGCGGACATCCCTGCGCGTGCACGAACGCATTTGCACGCGCGGTAGTCCTTCAGTGCGGGTGCACCCTTCCCACCTCCTCAGGCATGCGCTGCGGGGGAAGGGCCAGCTCAAAGGCGTGAGTTAGAGGAAGGTCTATGTGCCGTGAAGGTCTCCCTCACCCCACGCTGGGTCCCTGCGTTGGTACCTCAATTTCCCTGCCAAATCTATCAATAAGATCTCTCTCTTGCAGGGATCGGCTTCGTCACTGAGACCTCAGGCCTCTGCCATCCACCCCCCACACACGCCTAGCTGTCCTCGGCGGTTCTCAGTCGCGGCTCCATCTGTGCCCTCGCCCCAGCCTCAGCTATGTTGCACACTGAGGGCCACGCTCTTCTTCGGGCGGTGGGTCAGGGTAAGCTACGCTTGGCCCGTTTGCTTCTGGAGGGAGGCGCCTACGTGAATGAGGGTGATGCGCAGGGGGAGACTGCGCTAATGGCAGCCTGTCGGGCCCGCTACGACGACCCCCAGAACAAGGCACGCATGGTACGCTACCTCCTGGAGCAAGGCGCGGACCCCAACATCGCAGACCGCCTGGGGCGCACGGCGCTCATGCACGCTTGCGCCGGGGGTGGGGGCGCCGCCGTGGCCTCGCTGCTTCTTGCCCACGGCGCAGACCCCTCCGTCCGAGATCACGCGGGCGCCTCGGCTCTTGTCCACGCCCTGGACCGCGGGGACCGCGAGACCCTTGCCACGCTGCTGGACGCCTGCAAGGCCAAGGGCACGGAGGTCATCATCATCACCACCGATACCTCGCCCTCGGGCACCAAGAAGACCCGGCAGTATCTCAATTCTCCACCATCCCCGGGGGTGGAGGATCCTGCTCCCGCTCCTCCTAGCCCGGGGGTCTGCACGTCGCCTTCGGAAATCCAACTGCAGACCGCAGGAGGAGCAGGGCGAGGGATGTTATCCCCTCGCGCCCAGGAAGAAGAGGAGAAGCGGGACGTATTTGAATTCCCTCTTCCTAAGCCCCCGGATGACCCCTCCCCTTCCGAGCCGCTCCCCAAACCACCACGCCATCCCCCAAAACCACTCAAAAGGCTCAACTCCGAGCCCTGGGGCCTAGTGGCCCCTCCTCAACCAGTCCCACCCACCGAAGGGAGACCGGGGATCGAGCGCTTGACTGCCGACTTCAACGGCCTGACCCTGACCGGTCGACCCCGTCTTTCCCGACGTCACAGCACCGAAGGCCCTGAGGACCCGCCCCCATGGGCGGAGAAAGTGACTTGCGGGGGTCCTCTCTCGCGCCGAAACACAGCACCAGAAGCTCAGGAGTCTGGCCCCCCTTCAGGGCTGAGGCAGAAACTGAGCCGCATGGAGCCAGTGGAGCTCGACACCCCCGGACATCTTTGCCCTGACTCGCCAGAATCCAGCCGCTTGTCCCTCGAGCGCCGCCGATACAGCGCCTCCCCGTTGACCCTCCCTCCGGCCGGCTCGGCTCCCTCTCCGCGCCAGTCCCAAGAGAGTCTGCCAGGGGCAGTATCTCCGCTAAGCGGACGAAGGCGGAGTCCGGGCCTGCTGGAGCGGAGGGGCTCGGGGACGTTGCTCCTGGACCACATCTCGCAAACGCGGCCGGGTTTTCTGCCCCCTCTCAACGTCAGTCCCCACCCTCCCATCCCCGACATTCGCCCTCAACCCGGAGGTCGGGCGCCTTCGCTGCCTGCCCCTCCTTATGCCGGGGCACCAGGCTCTCCCAGGACCAAGCGCAAATTGGTGAGACGCCACTCCATGCAGACTGAGCAGCTCCGCCTGCTAGGGGGCTTCCAGAGTCTAGGTGGGCCTGGGGAGCCAGGGCGCTGAGAGGAGTGAGAGGAGCCAAGGAGGGTGGGGGCCAGGACCTTAATGGGATAGGTGGGAGAACCGCTCACACACACACCAGGAAAACAGGGATCCCTTGCATGTGCTCATGGGTGAACGGGGCACCCACACATGGTTAAGCATGTGTCTATAAGCACAGTACTCTTATTAGCAAGAAAGAATAAGGACTCTACTTACCGGGTATATAGACACATGTATTCACGCCCTGGACATTTTACATGCATATGGGATTACTTGTGAACCCACAGGCACAGCACATCAGTAAACACACAGGGCTAGGGTCCCAAACTCTCTTGCATTTGTTCAGAAGCAGTAGGGAACCCCTACTTATGGGCAGTCTCTGATGTCTTTGCCCTCCTGCAAAAGCAGTCCCTTGCTTTCCGCGTATGCCCTGCAACACAGCCTATCCTAATTTTGCACACTCCACTCTCTCTGTGAACATCCTAGCCCATTCCGCAGGTCTCGCTTCTTTCTCCAGGCCTGGCTCCTTAGTCACACCTGCTTCCAGCCCCAACCACTTTTCAGGATATCTTTTTCACTCTTCTTGGGGGTCCCTGCAGCAACCCCCAGCCTCAGTTCTGCTGCTGTCTTCCTGCTCTCAACTTCACTTCTCAACTTCCTGCTTTTTATTCCCACCCTGTTCCTCCAACGACTACAACAGATTGTCTCATTTTCCCAGGGAGTGGGTCATGGGCTCTAAGCTGCTCTTCTGTCTGTCTGAGCTTATGAACACCCCCACAGGTAGAAGTGGGGAGAAACCCTAAATCACTCCTCTCTCCACTTGACATATCAAATAAATGTGTTCAGAGTCTCTGTTTTGTCACTTCTGCCTGGAGGTGTGGGTATGGGGAATGAGGAATGGGGCGGGAGGGTAATAGTAACTTATAGCTGTAATGATCCAGGGAATACTTAGCCATTCCAGCCACCTTCTTTCCAAGAAACCAACTGACCAACTGTGGCTATAGAGAAAAGGCAAGTGTCCCGTGTCCTAAAGGTTTTAAGGCATTTGACAAGATTTCATTTCCTCCAGTTTCCTCTATGTTCAACCTTGAAATATTTGAGGTTCCTACAAAGAGTTTCTCCTTCCATCATCAGCAGATATATCCCCGTAGATTAAATGTCTCTTTTTCAAGCTTCCTATTTCTTGACCACTCACAGTTTTTATTCAGGGTCTAATTTTCATTCCACCAAGCGTCACCAAGTGTGTTTCTTCTATTTTTCTTCTACTTCTGGCCTTTATTTCCCCATCTTTGATTTCTGAGCCACTGTAGGAGAGACGATGGGGGAAAGGCAGTTAATATAACCTCACTTAAGTAAAAATGGTACAGTGACCACATGATAAAGGATATGTAGAGTGTGTGTGTGCATGTGTGCAAGTGTGTGTGTGTGCAAAGTAATCAGAGGAACCCAGCCTGACATGTTATATGAACAAGGGTAATTTTCTTAATTCCCCCACCTGGACTTCTTAGTTTACTAGTTTTCTGCATGTATCCTAACTCTTTCTCGCTCTAATGGGAGGCAAAGAGACTTGCCCATCCTACTCTCTCTTATTCCCTTCTCCTACTTAGAATAAGTGAAATCAGAAAATTACCCAACAGTGTGGCATAGTAAAAAGATAAAGATATTGGGAATCAGAACACCTATGTCTAACCTCTGATTTCCACTTAGTTATTTAAGTTTGGGCAATTTATCTAGCCTCCCTGAGCATCTGTTTCCTTACCCCCAAATAATAAAATCCAGTTAGTGACTGTGATTGTAAATAATACATGCACTACAGTACATTGCATAGTTTATGTTCATTAAACGTCAGTGTCTTTCTTGCCTTAGCTCCACCACCAATGTGATGTTGGACAAGTCAAATTACTCCTCTGAGCCACAGTTACCTCCCTTAAAATTTATAAAATGAAATGGTAGAACAAAATGATCTCTACTCTGTCTGTAATTCTCCCCAGTCTTACATCCAGGCCCATTTTTTTTTCTTCAAGCCCCGCCCCAGGGTTCTAGCCCTCTTTCTGGTGCGCGCCGCAGGACTCCCGAAGACGCGCCCAAGCTCGGCGTCTGCCTTTCAGAGGATACGCTTTTTCTCTTTGCAATTGGTTCTCAGAAGCTCCACCCTCCTCAATAATTTGCCTATGGCGGAGCAGGAGCCCTCCAGCTCCCGCCCCGTGACTGGTGATTGGCATGGGACTTGGCTCGTTCCCGCCCCCACTTGACTGACGGCTCGGCCCCGGCGCCGCCCTCAGTCCCCAGGCGCAAGCTGACTAGGGTGGTTGGGACCGTTAGCTCGCCAGGCTGGCAGGCTCCGGGGCGCTACTCCACTGGCGGCCGGGATGGAGACGATGCGAGCGCAGAGGCTGCAGCCTGGTGTGGGCACCAGCGGGAGGGGCACTCTCCGAGCGCTGCGGCCCGGAGTGACTGGGGCCGCGGCTGCCGCCGCCACACCCCCTGCGGGCCCCCCGCCTGCCCCGCCGCCTCCCGCACCGCCCCCGCCGCCGCTGCTCCTGTCTGGGGCCCCGGGACTGCCCCTGCCCCCCGGCGCTGCCGGGAGCCCGGCAGTGCTGCGAGAGGCCGTGGAGGCCGTGGTGAGGAGCTTCGCCAAGCACACGCAGGGCTATGGCCGAGGTGAGTCTGCGAGTCCGGCCTCCTGCGCGACACCCTCTGTAAGGGAGCCTTGCTCCCGCAGTCCTCCGGATCGCTTTTCCTGGCAGGGAGCCCTCACATGCATTTCCTTTTGGGGAGTTTCCTTCTGGGCTACGCACACGCACAGACGCACACACATACACGTTTAAGCCTCCTGCCTCCTCCCGTTACTGAGTTATTAATATATTCTCCAGGGACCCTTTTTCAGACACAATCCGCTTCTCTTCCTAAGCTTTTCTCCTTTCGAAATGGAATTCCTTCTCTAGCTTAATACCTTAACATCTCTCTGCCTTTGAGAACCAGTCCCCATTGTGTGGAGTCCTGTCTTTTATTTCAGATGCAGTTTCTCGTCCACACCCTCTCAATCTTTCCTCTGTGATCTCTGCAGTTCTTGGACTCCCTCTTAATTTGCTTCAGCTCCTTAACCTTGACTTTTATATTCTTTACTTACTTCACTCTGAAATTTCAGGGCAACTTCAGATTTACTGCGGAACTCGGTAGTGCCTTTGCAAGTTACTCGTAATAATTGTGCATTTAAATCCGGACCTGTACCATTGATCCCACAGCAGCTTCCTGTGGCTTAGTACCTGACTTTGGTATCTTTTTTAGTATGGAGACTCACAACTCCGGCCTTGCTGTCTGGCTCTGTTTTCCTGGCCCTTGCCCAGGAACTGAGGATAAATCCCAGGCCTTGGCTCTTTCAATCCTAAATTCTGTGGAAATGCGCCAGGTTAGAAACTCTATTTGGGTTAGAAATCTTCGTCTTAAAGATGTCTAATTTCTGGAAAGAGGGATGTGAGGGTTTTCTTTGTCGTTTTTGTTTAACCAGTGTAGTTTCCTGTCTGAGTTTGACTTACAGATTTATAGTGTAAGTAACAAGAAAGATATAGTGAAGGGTATAGAATACAGAATTTAAGCCTGGAATTTATAAGACATCCCTCCTGGCCAGGCGTGGTGGCTCACGCCTGTAATCCCAGCACTTTGGGAGGCCGAGGCGGGCGGATCACGATGTCAAGAGATCGAAACCATCCTGGCCAACATGGTGAAACCCCCTCTCTACTAAAAATACTAAAATTAGCTGGGCTTGGTGGCACGCGCCTGTAGCCCCAGCTACTAGGGAGGCTGACGCGGGAGAATTGCTTGAACCAGGGAGGCGGAGGTTGCAGTGAGCCGAGATCGTGTCACTGCACTCTAGCCTGGCGCCTGGCGACAAAGCAAGACTTTCTCAAAAAAAAAAAAAAAAAAAAAAAAAAGACATTCCTCTGCTTGGCCAGGTCCTGCTTGACCTGGAAATGACTCTACCTTTAATTTCTAGTTTAACAATATAGAGAAAAGTTACAGGGCTTTTCTGTAGATTTTCTTTTTTTAAGAAAGTTTAGCCGGGCGCGGTGGCTCACGCCTATAATCCCAGCACTTTGGGAGGCCGAGGCGGGTGGATCACGAGGTCAAGAAATCGAGACCATCCTGGTCAACAAGGTGAAACCTCGTCTCTACTAAAAATACAACAATTAGCTGGGCACGATGGTGCATGCCTGTAGTCCCAGCTACTCGGGAGGATGAGGCAGGAGAATTGCTTGAATCCAGGGGGCGGAGGTTGCAGTGAGCCGAGATCGTGCCATTGCACTCCAGTCTGGGCAACAACAGCGAAACTCCGTCTCAAAAGAAAAAAAAGAAAGAAAGAAAGTTTAGTGAAAAGAGCACACACAGGCTTTGGAGATCTTTGTCACTTACCAGCTAAATTTTTTGGGAATGGACTTAACCTCACTGAGCTTCAGTTTCCTTAAGGGTTGCAATATGGATTAACCGAAACATTGCAACTGCCATATAATGGGTACCTAAAAATGATTGTTAGCTCAAATTTGTTGGTTCATCATTCCTGAGGTAGAACATGGTTCATTTTTTCCCACTCTTAAATCCTGATAATGTAAACGCAAAAATTCCTATGAAAACAGATTTTTAGAGCCATTTTGCTGTGTGTGCCTAATGATTCATTTATCATCAGTTTCCCTTTGTTCTTCATACAATTTGAACTCCTACTATAGGGCAGGCACACTGCCAGGTGCTGGGGATGCAAATGGATGAATCCGAAACTCATGAGGAAATATTGTTATTTTTCCAATGTAATCCCTGGATTTAACAAGGCTGTGTGATGGAACTGCTATTGGCTACTGTCCTACTACTTGAAGTCTCTAAGTCAAGACAAGGGAAGGTTTTTGCCTCTGGGCACAGGAGGAGCCCCTAGTAGTCACATTGAATCTGAAGGCTTCCATAGGCATTTATTAACGTTATAGAGGAGTACACCCTTTTTCTTGTCTGTGTTACCTGAAGAGCCTCTGCTTTGGCTCCTAAACTGGGCATCCTGTAAAAACTTTCATATCTTTAGCAAGGATGAGGGAACAAGTGGATTGTGCTGACAAAAGGCAATTAGTCAGGCTTCAGACTCTGTGGTGATTTTCTTTCCTATCTCCCCATCCTCCCATCGCAGTCTTTCTCATTATTCTTGAGTTTCTCATTTCCAGTCTGGGTGTCCAGCCAGTACTTTAGGAGAGTCTGGCAGATAGTTCAGCTTCAGGCAAGCAGAATCTCCGCCCAGTTGGCTCAGAAGTTCTTCACCACATGGAATCACTTATTCTGCTTCAATTCTTAGGCAAAGCTGCCACTGGCATGTACTCACATACCCTTGTGACTGATGGCATGGTATTTGGGGGAATGGCTGTATTCCCCTGAATACAATTTACTTTGGCCTCTGACTAGACAATTCATTCCCTCATCCAGCAATGCTTTACCACATCACCTTCAATTAACATCCTTCATCTTCTTCCTGAATGCTCCAAATTCACCTTTTCCAGTCAGTCTTTAGATCTACCTTCACTCATGTGAGGATATCAGTATTTATTTATTTATTTATTTAAAAACACTTTTCTGTCCTTTATCTGTCTCCCTCACCAACTTACACAAGATACACGCATAGCTCCGTATTCTGTAGGATCTTAATAAGTTTGTAGTGCATGGGATTTGGAATCAGAGGACCCAGCCCTGCCAAATAGTTGGTTGTGTGATCTTGGAGATGTTGCTTAATCTCTGTATGCCTCATCTGTTCTCTGCATTCATTTGACAAATATTTATTGATCACCAGATGCAGTGGTGGACAAGGCAGATACTTAGTCCCTGTCTTGATGGACCTCACAGTCCACTTTACCGAGCATGTGTGAGGATTAATGGTGTAAAGCAGGCTAGCCCAATACAAAGAGGATTGACTTTGGAGCCAAACAAACATTGTTTCTAAATCCAATTCTGCCATTTCTGGCCTGTTCCTTAACTTGCTTACTTTTTGTAAAATGAATATTATAGTACTTATCCTGATAGTTTTGTGTGGATTAAATGAGATAACGAATAGAAAGCATGCAGCACGCGGTACTCGGTGTGGTTGCTATTATTGTGCATTTGGAAATGCTTTGGAAACTGTAAATGATAGGTATTGTTCTGGATTACCATTTACTTTGCCATCTTTTTTCTATGGCATATAGTCTCTTTCTGATGTTTGACATCTGGCAATCTCTAAACTGGCAGGATTGAGTAATTCACTTTCCTTGCTCTGTAGCTGCTACTTTCCTTCTTCAAATGTGTTGTTTTAGGATTGTTACTATCCTTTTATATAGCAATATGGCTGCATGATTGGAGATTTTGCCCTGCTATTCCACTAAGTTGAACAAATGAATCTTGTGTTGTATTTTCTGTTTAGTTGCTCCTTTTCCTCAGAATCACAGATGGCTTCTTTTCTGTAAGTGACTGGAGTTAAATGGGTTGGGCTGAATAGCTCCAATTTTTGGAAATGCTGGATTAGTCCCTTATAACGGTTTCCTGTGGCGGCTGTAACAAATTATCACAACTTTAGTGGCTTAAGCCAACAGAAATTTATTCTCTCATAGTTCCGGAGGCCAGAAATCCAAAATCAGTATTACTGGGCCAAAATCAAGGTGTTGGCAGGGCTGTGCTCCCTCAAGAAGCTCTAGGGGAGAACCCGTTCCTTATCTCTTCTAGCTTCTGGTGGCTGCTGACATTGATTTTTTACTTGGTTTAGTACTGTATCACTATAATCTCTGCGTCTGTGACTCCTCCTCTTCTGTGTTTTGTCAAATATGTCTCTTTTTTTTTTAAGAGATGGAATCTTGCTCTGTTGCCCAGGCCATACTGCAGTGGTGCAATCATAGCTCACTGCAGCCTGGAACTGCTAGGTTCCAGTAATCCTCCCGCCTCAGCCTCCCAAGTAGCTAGGAATACAGGGGCATGTCACCACACCTGACTGATTTTGTGAAAACATTTGTAGAGACAAGATCCCATGATGTTGCCCAGGGTGGTCTTTTTTTTTTTTTTTTTTTTTTTTTTTTTTTTTTTTTTTAATAAAGATGGGGTTTCACCATGACGGCCAGGCTGGTCTTGAACTCCTGACCTCAGGTGATCCACCCACCTTGGCCTCCCAAAGTGCTAGGATTACAGGCGTGAGCCACTGCGCCCTGCCCAGGGTGGTCTTGAACTCCTGGCCTCAAGTGATCCTCCTGCTTTGGCCTCCCAAAATGCTGGAATTACTGGCATGAGTCAATGTGCCCAGCCTGCCTCCCTAGGGCCCACCTATATAATCTAGGTAATTTCCCCATCTCAAATCATTTAAACCCATCTGCAAAGTCTTTGCCAGATAAAGTGACATTCACAGGTTCCAAGGATTAGGATATGGACATTTTGGCAGGTGGCATTATTCAGTCTACCAGAGTCGCCTCTCAAAGTCACTGTTAACTTTGCAGTCTCTCCTTCCAAAGAGACTGTGTACTGTGGGCTATTTAGGGGCAGATGTACCTTCTAAAGATTGAAATGGGAAATAGATGAAATATTTTTAACCAATTTCCCTATCTTCCATAATAATGTGAATAGGGTCAGTCTTTCTCATCATCCTATATGATCAAGGAGAATCTTTTTATAATCTCTTA